CGGAATGGCACCCAGGCTAGCTTTTTTTGTCCACTCTATAAAGCTTCGAACTGAACGCTTATTATGACAACCTTCATAGATGGGAAGTGAAACGTCTTTAAACTTGGAAAAGTTTAGCGGAGATCCTTTTTTTTTTTTACTTTTTTTGGCACTGAAAACTGTGTAAACTATAGAATATGCAAAAATGCATTTTTAAGTGTAAGCTTCAGTAAACGACATAAAGTACTGACTTTTTTCATCTTTCTCACAGTATTACAGTATATGAAGGTTGATAAACAACATAAAATGTTTTAACAACATTGCCATGTTTGCCACTAAAAGCTGTGCAGAAATAAGAGGGAGAATCTGAATATCCTTCTCCATGTGTGCCACCCTCTATCTCATTGATGCTCTTTGGCTTTCAGTTTCCGCTAATGAGTTTCAAAATAAAAGCTCTGGGCTGTTAACTACTGCACCTGGTCTAACTCCTGGACGTTCAACAGCCAGAAGCCAGGGTTCTTGTTCAGAAAGGCACTTCCTGATATATATGTGCACTACCTAATGCCTTATAAGCAGAGAAAATAGTATATTTTTTTGTTTTTATCTGATTGGTTGCTTAACAGCAGGTGTCCAAAACTTAATCTATGTGTTGCCGCAGCATTCTAATTAATCTGATTACAGATTGTAATATTTTCAAACCTAATCCTAGAAAGAACAACTTATATAGAAATGGTGTCGCTATTGGCAACCCTTTATCTTTCCACTGTAGTTGCTTTTCTCTAACCCTAACAAACCTTCATTTAACTGGATAGGCCGGTAATGCATAAAAGTTTAAATCCTCCTTCTCATCTGCACATAAAGCCTTAAATGGCCACGCTCTGTTATACCAGGAAGCTGATCATCCCTTATGTTCCTAACAGAGCACTTTACTTGTAGTCTCTAGTTCTACTTTTGGTTCCTAGTATTTCTAGAAATAGAATAAGAGGTAGATCTTTTAGTTACGCTTCTTTCCTGAGGAACCAACTACCAATTTTTGATAAAACTTAGAATGACTCAGATAATCCTGCGCTATCTCTATAGGTATGCTGCAATGGGCTTAGACTGCTGGAGGACATAGGGACTACTTTTCATCATTCTGCTTCATTCTATCTTTATTCTCCCAGTCTGCAGTATTTGTTAGTTCAACCCCTAAATTTATGCTTTGCTTTTTTCTTATCGTAGTAATTTAATCTGGTCCATTCTGCTGAACAGACCAGATTCAACACCTTAGATCAGTGTTTCCCAACGGGGGTATGCATACCCCTAGTAATCCCTGTGTGCATTGCAAGATCAACATGCAAATATTTTATTTCTCAGGTAGTAAAATAAAATAGGCTCTGATCTGTTTTACTTTGTGAGGACCCGCCTGAAAATTAAACCAAAAAGTACTTATTTCTTATATCTGTGAGTTCACCTTCAGCTTTAGCACAATTCAAATCCAAGCAGAGGAACAGATTAGATGTAGAGACCAGTCTGGTATCAGTTGTTTTTCAAACTGAGCAATCGGAGATCTTCAAAGCAGCTCAGGTGTCTTGATGAAATCAAAGTAAAACTAATCAAGTAAGTCTGACTATAATTTTTTCTGTCTTTTA